AAGTTTTTTCGTTTAATACTTCTCTTTCACTTCTGGCTTAAAGCACTCAGACACACGAAGCTAATGAAGTCTACATCAGGTATGGATAATTTAGTACTTTAGTGCTTTTTTCAGTACTTTTTGATGTTGTAAAATAGTCTAGCCTATAGTTTATAGTCTAGTACATAGTATAGTACTAGATATACTATATACTATAGACTAGACTATAGACTAGACTATAGACTAGACTATAGACTAGACTATAGACTAGACTATAGACTAGACTATAGACTAGACTATAGACTAGACTATAGACTAGACTATAGACTAGACTATAGACTAGACTATAGACTAGACTATAGACTAGACTGTAGACTAGACTATAGACTAGACTATAGACTAGACTATAGACTAGACTATAGACTAGACTATAGACTAGACTATAGACTAGACTATAGACTAGACTATAGACTAGACTATAGACTAGACTATAGACTTGACTATAGACTAGACTATAGACTAGACTATAGACTAGACTATAGACTAGACTATAGACTAGACTATAGACTAGACTATAGACTAGACTATAGACTAGACTATAGACTAGACTATAGACTAGACTATAGACTAGACTATAGACTAGACTATAGACTAGACTATAGACTAGACTATAGACTAGACTATAGACTAGACTATAGACTAGACTATAGACTAGACTATAGACTAGACTATAGACTAGACTATAGACTAGACTATAGACTAGACTATAGACTAGACTATAGACTAGACTATAGACTAGACTATAGACTAGACTATAGACTAGACTATAGACTAGACTATAGACTAGACTATAGACTAGACTATAGACTAGACTATAGACTAGACTATAGACTAGACTATAGACTAGACTATAGACTAGACTATAGACTAGACTATAGACTAGACTATAGACTAGACTATAGACTAGACTATAGACTAGACTATAGACTAGACTATAGACTAGACTATAGACTAGACTATAGACTAGACTATAGACTAGACTATAGACTAGACTATAGACTAGACTATAGACTAGACTATAGACTAGACTATAGACCTAGATATAGCACTAGACTATAGACTAGACTATAGACTAGACTATAGACTAGGACTATAGACTAGACTATAGACTAGACCTATAGACTAGACTATAGACTAGACTATAGACTAGGACTATAGACTAGACTATAGACTAGGGACTCTGACTAGACTATAGACTAGACTATAGACTAGACTATAGACTAGACTATAGACTAGACTAATGACTAGACTATAGACTAGGACTATCGACTAGTACTATAGACTAGACTATAGGACTAGACTATAGACTAGACTATAGATAGACTATAGACTAGGACTATAGACTAGACTATAGACTAGACTATAGACTAGACTATGGACTAGACTATAGACTAGACTATAGACGAGACTATAGACTAGACTATAGACTAGACTACTAGACTAGACTATAGACTAGACTATAGACTAGACTATAGACTAGACTATAGACTAGACTATAGACTAACTATAGACTAGACTATAGACTAGACTATGACTAGACTAGACTAGACTATAGACTAGACTATAGACTAGACTAGACTATAGACTAGACTATAGACTAGACTATAGACTAGACTATAGACTAGACTATAGACTAGACTATAGACTAGACTATAGACTAGACTATAGACTAGACTATAGACTAGACTATAGACTAGACTATAGACTAGACTATAGACTAGACTATAGACTAGACTATAGACTAGACTATAGACTAGACTATAGACTAGACTATAGACTAGACTATAGACTAGACTATAGACTAGACTATAGACTAGACTATAGACTAGACTATAGACTAGACTATAGACTAGACTATAGACTAGACTATAGACTAGACTATAGACTAGACTATAGACTAGACTATAGACTAGACTATAGACTAGACTATAGACTAGACTATAGACTAGACTATAGACTAGACTATAGACTAGACTATAGACTAGACTATAGACTAGACTATAGACTAGACTATAGACTAGACTATAGACTAGACTATAGACTAGACTATAGACTAGACTATAGACTAGACTATAGACTAGACTATAGACTAGACTATAGACTAGACTATAGACTAGACTATAGACTAGACTATAGACTAGACTATAGACTAGACTAGACTAGACTAGACTATAGACTAGACTATAGACTAGACTATAGACTAGACTATAGACTAGACTATAGACTAGACTATAGACTAGACTATAGACTAGACTATAGACTAGACTATAGACTAGACTATAGACTAGACTATAGACTAGACTATAGACTAGACTATAGACTAGACTATAGACTAGACTATAGACTAGACTATAGACTAGACTATAGACTAGACTATAGACTAATGCTATTCAAGCATTTAGTTTGGTCTGTAGTCTAGTCTATAGTATAGTCTGTAATCTAATATTTAGCCTGGTCTATAGTGTGTTCTCTAGACTATTTCAAAATCATTATTTTCCATGCCTGGTCTGTATAGAATCAAGTCTTGTTTAATATGGTCTTTTAAAATGATGAAAGGGGTTCTGTGAAGGGGTGATCGTATGTTAAATTGTTTTTGTGTGTGTGAAGTGGAAAAGTAAAGATTATTTTGTAATTTTCTTCTTGTTGATAAAATCTTTTTTTTCTTAAATGCGTTCGTTGTCTGATTTATTGCAATTGTCATTAAATGCAAGAGAAATTTTACTTTTTTATTTTGTTTTTATTATTATTTATTATATAAATACTGCTGTCTATTTGTTAAAGTCATTGTTCTGTTAGAGTGTAATTTTAAGGCAAGAGAGATTGGTAAAGCAAAGTGACTCATAATTGTCGTATTATTCAGTTGTTTTTAAACATTAATCTTTTCTCTGAGTTTTTTCAAATTTACATCCCGTTATTGTGTTGTTTTTTAAAATTTTTTGTCATTACTTTAAAATCAATCAGTTGTATTAATTACAGTTATGAAGTGTTTTTTTCTCTTTTAAAACGCCTTTTGCGGTTTGTAAACAATATAAAACCCGATGGGAAATTTGAGACAAAGTTAACACCACAATGACTTTAAGAACCACAAGTATCTGATTAAAGGTCTTTTATAAGACCGACATAAGGGAAAGTAAAATGAATTTAATACAAATACATTGCTCTTTGAGTTTAAATAAGATTAAATAGTGGTGAAACTTACTACTTTTTCTTAACAAAGTACTAAAGTATGTAAAATTTCTCATCGTATGGATAAAATGTTTAAAAATCTATGCAAAAATTTAAAAATTTTGCTTTTTGAAATAGTAGTTTTTGCAAAAAGTTGATAATGTTAGACTTTAAGGATGGCAAATGATTATTTCTCATGTATGCTATAGAAAAATACTACTTTTTACTAAAATTTTTCAAAAAGTACTAAATTATTTACTACTTTTTTAGCATTTCAATAAATACAGAAAATGGATTTAAAAAAAAACCGAACTTTTTCCAGATTTAAAATAGTACTATTTCTACTACTTTTTTAAAAAATAATGAAATATTAAATTTTTTTGTATAAATTATGATTGTTTAAAATTTAAAGGTTTAAGAAAATAATATCTTATATATTTTTTTTTTTAAAAAGTACTAAATTATTTACTACTTTTTTAAAAAAAATGTATTTATTTTTACAAAATTTTCAATGGAATTTATTTAAAACGCAAGAGTAACTACAAAAACATTATTATTTCATAATTTTAAAATAGTAGTATTTCTACTACTTTTTTGGAAAACAAGGGAATTTTTAATTTTTTTAGTGTAAATTGTGATTAATTAAAGTAAAAACTTTACTATAATTAGATTTTTTATAAAAAAAATTGTAAAAAGTACTAAATCAGTTACTACATTTTTACAAAATGTAATTATTTTTTCAAAATTTTCAATGAAATTTGTTTAAAAAACAAAAGTGCCTAGAAAAACATTGTTATTTGGTCATTTTAAAATAGTAGTATTTCTACTACTTTTTTGAAAAACAAAAGAATTTTTAAGTTTTTAATGCGGATTGTGATTTATTGAGATGTAAACTTTAAGAAAGTGAAATTTTTTATAAAAATTTTGTAAAAAATACTAAATTTTCTACTAGTTTTTTAGCAAAACATATTTTTTGTCCAAAAATTTTAAAGGAATTAGTTTAAACTCACAAAAAGATTCGAAAAAAGTTATTTTTTTTTAATTATAAAATAGTAGTAGAAATACTACTTTTTGAAAAATGGTAGAATATTCCAGTTTTTTTGCATAGATTTTGGTTGCTAAAAATGTAAGCTTTAAAAACTTAATATTTTTAAGCAAATTTTTTAAAAAAGTACAAAATTAGTTACTACTTTTTTATAAAAAGTACTAATTTAATAAAAATTTTTGGTGGGATATGTTTGATATGAAACAAAGTTTTCAAAAACATGTTTATTTTTCAATTTGAAAATAGTAGTAGAAATACTACTTTTTTAAAAAAGTAAAAAATCATATATTTTTTAATAGCAAATGATAGTTTTAAATTAAATATTTCTATTTTTCCTAAATTTCCTATTGGATATGGAATTCTCTGTAACCCGTGTGATTTTTTCTGTGTGCTGTCGCTTTTAATACTTTTTTTAAGTTTATTTTTATTGACAAAAGGTTTTAAATAACATAATTGTTTTTTAATAATTTTTTCATAATACTATTAAATTACCTCATGTTCATTGACATTATTTTATAGAAAAAAAAAAAACATAAAAAAGATTAAATTTAATTTTAAGCGGCTTTGAAATTATTTGTTATTGTTTTTGTTAAGCCATCACAACAGCTAATACGTTAAAAATTGTATTTAAATATTTGTTTTTTTAATCTTTTTTTACAGCTCTTATTCAAACATGGAATCCTATTTAATGGAAATTAAACAATTGCGCATACCACGCCCTAAATATGAACCCAGTGGTAGTAGTCCACCACGCAGTGATTACTATCCCTTGGCTAGACCCTTTACACCACCCAGAGATTATCAACTTACGAATGAATCAATATTGTCATCACATCAGCGTTCTTATCAAGAGGGTGGTGATGATTTTCGACCATCAGTGCATCAGAAAATTTAAATTTAAATTTTAATTCAATAAATATAAATAGTATTGTTTAATTACTTAAGTGCTCATAATATGATAAACAAATATTTTTTTTTACAAACCAGGCAAATATTATTATTTTTAATTTAATTTTTAGCTTTGGTTTTGTTTTAAGTGTATGTATTATTTTCTTTGTTTAAAAAACAAATTTTAAACTAATGAATTTACTTTTATGTTTGTATATTTTTTATTAATAAATTTATGTAAAAACCCTATTAAATGGTTTAATTTAGCCTTTTACTTCCCAAGCCTAATATATTTCTAGTCTTTTCCATAACTTAACCTCATTTTATGTAATATTTGAAAAAAAAAGTGTAGTAGAAAATCCTTTACTCACCACATCTTGTTCATAGTCCGCGTGGGGCAGTACATGGGTTTCACTCATTCTTCGGGACCTATGGTCATCACAGCCGTATTCCTATTCGATTTTTAGTTTTTCGTATTAGGTTTTTATTTTCAGTTTGTTTTGATTTTTTTGGAGGGGTTTTTGTGTTTTTCATTAGTTTTATTTTTCACCAGAAAACAAGAAGTAGAATAAAAAAACAAATAAAGAAAATTAAAAAATTATAGAAAATTATATAAAAAAGATTTTGTTTGATTTTGGGTGTTAAAATAAAAAGATAAATATACATTTAGAGGGGAAAGAATGAAGGATCAATTTTTAAGTGGACCTCATATGATCAAGAACGTTATAAGCTCACCAAAGTTACCCAAAATGTTCAAGACTATTTAAAGTTTAATTCTAGTGTATAGTCTAGTCCAAAGTCTAGGTTATAATCTAGCCTATAGTCCATAGTCTAGGTTAAAGTCTATCCTAAAGTGTAGTCCATAGTCTAGGTTATAGTCTAGCCTATAGTGTAGTCTATAGTCTAGTCCATAGTCTAGGTTACAGTCTAGCCTATAGTGTAGTCCATAGTCTAGGTTATAGTATAGTCTATAGTCTAGTCTAGTCTATAGTCTAGTCTAGTCTATAGTCTAGTCTATAGTCTAGTCTATAGTCTAGTCTATAGTCTAGTCTATAGTCTAGTCTATAGTCTAGTCTATAGTCTAGTCTATAGTCTAGTCTATAGTCTAGTCTATAGTCTAGTCTATAGTCTAGTCTATAGTCTAGTCTATAGTCTAGTCTATAGTCTAGTCTATAGTCTAGTCTATAGTCTAGTCTATAGTCTAGTCTATAGTCTAGTCTATAGTCTAGTCTATAGTCTAGTCTATAGTCTAGTCTATAGTCTAGTCTATAGTCTAGTCTATAGTCTAGTCTATAGTCTAGTCTATAGTCTAGTCTATAGTCTAGTCTATAGTCTAGTCTATAGTCTAGTCCTATAGTCTAGTCTATAGTCTAGTCTATAGTCTAGTCTATAGTCTATATAGTCTAGTCTATAGTCTAGTCTATAGTCTAGTCTATAGTCTAGTCTATAGTCTAGTCTATAGTCTAGTCTATAGTCTAGTCTATAGTCTAGTCTATAGTCTAGTCTATAGTCTAGTCTATAGTCTAGTCTATAGTCTAGTCTATAGTCTAGTCTATAGTCTAGTCTATAGTCTAGTCTATAGTCTAGTCTATAGTCTAGTCTATAGTCTAGTCTATAGTCTAGTCTATAGTCTAGTCTATAGTCTAGTCTATAGTCTAGTCTATAGTCTAGTCTATAGTCTAGTCTATAGTCTAGTCTATAGTCTAGTCTATAGTCTAGTCTATAGTCTAGTCTATAGTCTAGTCTATAGTCTAGTCTATAGTCTAGTCTATAGTCTAGTCTATAGTCTAGTCTATAGTCTAGTCTATAGTCTAGTCTATAGTCTAGTCTATAGTCTAGTCTATAGTCTAGTCTATAGTCTAGTCTATAGTCTAGTCTATAGTCTAGTCTATAGTCTAGTCTATAGTCTAGTCTATAGTCTAGTCTAGTCTAGTCTATAGTCTAGTCTATAGTCTAGTCTATAGTCTAGTCTATAGTCTAGTCTATAGTCTAGTCTATAGTCTAGTCTATAGTCTAGTCTATAGTCTAGTCTATAGTCTAGTCTATAGTCTAGTCTATAGTCTAGTCTATAGTCTAGTCTATAGTCTAGTCTATAGTCTAGTCTATAGTCTAGGTCTATAGTCTAGTCTATAGTCTAGTCTATAGTCTAGTCTATAGTCTAGTCTATAGTCTAGTCTATAGTCTAGTCTATAGTCTAGTCTATAGTCTAGTCTATAGTCTAGTCTATAGTCTAGTCTAGTCTATAGTCTAGTCTATAGTCTAGTCTATAGTCTAGTCTATAGTCTAGTCTATAGTCTAGTCTATAGTCTAGTCTATAGTCCTAGTCTAGTAGTCTAGTCTATAGTCTAGTCTATAGTCTATAGTCTAGTCTATAGTCTAGTCTATAGTCTAGTCTATAGTCTAGTCTATAGTCTAGTCTATAGTCTAGTCTATAGTCTAGTCTATAGTCTAGTCTATAGTCTAGTCTATAGTCTAGTCTATAGTCTAGTCTATAGTCTAGTCTATAGTCTAGTCTATAGTCTAGTCTATAGTCTAGTCTATAGTCTAGTCTATAGTCTAGTCTATAGTCTAGTCTATAGTCTAGTCTATAGTCTAGTCTATAGTCTAGTCTATAGTCTAGTCTATAGTATAGTCTATAGTCTAGTCTATAGTCTAGTCTATAGTCTAGTCTGTAGTCTAGTCTATAGTCTAGTCTATAGTCTAGTCTATAGTCTAGTCTATAGTCTAGTCTATAGTCTAGTCTATAGTCTAGTCTATAGTCTAGTCTATAGTCTAGTCTATAGTCTAGTCTATAATCTAGTATATTGTCAAGTCAATAGTCTAGACAGTTGTCAAGTTGTTAGTCTGGTCTGTAAACCCGGTCTATTGTCCAGTGCATAGCTCAGCCTATCGTCAAGTTTATAGGCCAGTCTATAGTCAGATCTTAAATCTATCATGTAGTCTAGTTCAGAGTCCTGTCCATAGTCTGGACTATAGTTGGGAATAAGGTATTTGCTATTCTACTGACAGACTGCAGTTTTGACTATAGTCTAGTCCAATGTAGTTCCTATAAGATTTTCTGAAGAAAAGCTCTATATACGTATTACGTTCATTATTCTTGCACATAAAATCTGATCCTTTCATTTCTTCCCCTTAGATAACATTTTTACAAATTTGAAATATTTAAGTAAAATACACTGATAGAAATGCCAATCACTAAACATTGAAATAGAATTTTAACATTTAAAAAAATTAAAGAAATTTTATAAATAAAATATCACAATAATTTAGAAAATACTTTGAAAGAAAATAAAACAACATTTAAACGACGACAAAACACTCGTTTAGCGAAAATTTTTATTAAGACAGACATACAACACATAAACTACATATGGATACAAAGAAAAAAAAAAAGGCCCTAAAAGGGGTTGTATGACCAGAGAAATTTTTTTATTTAAATACAAAGACCCTGATGGTAAAACAGCTAAAAACCTCGAATGTCAATTTTTGGTGTTAAAAATTAAAAAAAAAATTGTTAAAAAAAAGTTTTATAAAAAATTTGGGTGCCTCAGAAGAATTTCGAAAAAAGGTGAAGAAATTTTAAAAGACAGTGAAAAGTGGCTTTAAAGGAGAGAGAGAGAGTATACAAAAAGAGAGCAGTGATAAAAGACGACAGCAATAAAAAGGTGACAGTGATAGAAATTTGAACTTTTTTTTTGTTTAATTTGCAAATTTTTTAGAAATTCTTTTTGTTTAAAGGATTTTTTTCACAAATTTGTTTTTAGAAATTATAAGTTTGTTGTTTTTTTTTAGAAAATATGACATTTTTGTAAGATATGATCATCACCTGATGTTGATTGTCAAAATGCGTTTGATTGATGAGGCCCATGCAACTGCTGTCGTCGTTAGTATTTGTATTAGAAGTTTTGTACATAAACTGCTTTTGTGGAGTATTATGGGTGGTACTGCTGTGATAATAAGTTGGTCCCATTATTTTCGATGTTGATGATGAGTTACCGGCCAGACGTGAACCAAAGCCACCAAGATGACGCAATGAGGCATGATGACTGGTATAGCGATGATAATGGCCGATATTGGTTTGTGTAGGAGGATGTAAATATGAATTGGTTGGCAGTGGTGGCGCTTGTTGTTGTTGTTGTAAAAGTTGTTGTTGTTGCTGTTGGGATGAATTACATGCTGTCGATGAGGATGTAGATGTTGATGGCAGTTTTTGTGGTGTGGGATGATGAAAGTGAGAACGATGTAAAATCGGTTCGGCCGACATGGGTCGATAGGGTAAACGTTGTAAAGGTCTGTTATTTTTTGTTTTTGTTTTAATAACATGTTTGTAGTTGCAATTTGTAACCAACATTTTTGTCAATTTAAAATTTTTGGTTTTTTTGTTTTTTTTTTAACAAATTGTAAAAAAGTAAAATTGAAGTTTTAAAGAGAAAAAAATATTGAAAAAAAAATTTGTCATTAATTTTTGTTGTTTTCTTTAGTATGGAAAAAAATTGTGCTTTAAAACAAAAGAGTACCGATTTTTCAAATCCGTCATGGTCATGCCCAGCCCTGAGTCCGATGAAGGACTTCTGCCAGTAGCCGCACTTACTTCCAAATCCACATCGGTTACCTACGTAAGGGTACACAACACGCAATATTCAAATTTTATTTAATTTGCTTCAAATTAACAATAGTTTTTCGTTAACGCAAATTCGTTTTTTGTATTTTCAGTTAATTTTAAAAGGTGCTGTTTGTTTTCAAACAAATTTATTATTTAATAATTTAATAATTTAAATAAGTGCTGTTTTATTATAAAAATCTGTTTGATAATATTTTAATAATTTTTATAAAATATGTTTATTTAAAGTGCCTTTTGTTTGTTAATTCTTTGAGTAATTTTCTTTCGGTGTAGTGTGGTGGTGAAATTTATTGAGGTGAATTTCTTTATGCTTAAAAAAGGTGAGTTTATTTTAGTTCTAAATTATTGCTGAAATTTTGGTGTTGTTTTCTTTGGTTACTTGTTGATAATTTTTGTTAAAAACTTAAACCCAATCTGGAGAATTTGTATTGTTTAGAACTTCCGATTTTCAAATTTAAAAATAAAGTCGTTGATTTTCAAACCAAACATTTTCTTTGACATACACTTAGCGACTGAAAATATTACCATACCAACTAATTATCATTGATTTTGTTTTTGGTACGAGAGTATCAAAGTCTGATTGACATTTCAACTAAAATAATGACAAGTAAATCTTTTCATACAGTTGAACAAACTGTCATGGAAATTAAGCACACTTTCGTTTAGAATTGCTACGAACATAAGAATTACAATAATTCCATTACAAAGGAAACCTTTTTGCGTAACACCGCAAACCTACTGACAATTTTGAAAATTGTCATAATTGACAGGTCATCATAGACACACATTAAAAAATAAAACCAGGTCATATTTCTAATAAAACAGTTATTGAACACGTTATGTGCAAAAACCACCAACAATTCATTTACGTACTAAAAACTAGTTCATATTTAAGTCTATAGTCTAGCCTTTAGTCTAGTCTAAACTCTAGTATATAGTCTAGTCTATAGTTTAGTCTATAGTCTAGTCTATAGTCCAGTCTATAGTCTAGTCTATAGTCTAGTCTATAGTCTAGTCTATAGTCTAGACTATAGTCTAGTCTATAGTCTAGTCTATAGTCTAGTCTATAGTCTAGTCTATAGTCTAGTCTATAGTCTAGTCTATAGTCTAGTCTATAGTCTAGTCTATAGTCTAGTCTATAGTCTAGTCTATAGTCTAGTCTATAGTCTAGTCTATAGTCTAGTCTATAATCTAGTCTATAGTCTAGTCTATAGTCTTGTCTATAGTCTAGTCTATAGTCTAGTCTATAGTCTAGTCTATAGTCTAGTCTATAGTCTATTCTATAGTCTATTCTATAGTCTAGTCTATAGTCTAGTCTATAGTGTAGTCTATAGTCTAGTCTATAGTCTAGTCTATAGTCTAGTCTATAGTCTAGTCTAGTCTAGTCTAGTCTAGTCTAGTCTAGTCTAGTCTAGTCTAGTCTAGTCTAGTCTAGTCTAGTCTAGTCTAGTCTAGTCTAGTCTAGTCTAGTCTAGTCTAGTCTAGTCTAGTCTAGTCTAGTCTATAGTCTAGTCTATAGTCTAGTCTATAGTCCAGTCTATAGTCTAGTCTATAGTCTAGTCTATAGTCAAGTCTATAGTCAAGTCTATAGTCTAGTCAATAGTCTAGTCTATAGTCTAGTCTATAGTCTAGTCTATAGTCAAGTCTATAGTCAAGTCTATAGTCTAGTCTAAGGTCTAGTCTAAAGTTTAGTCTACAGTCTAATCTGTAGTGTAGTCTATAGCCTAGTCTATAGTCTAGTCTACAGTCAGGTCTATAGTCCAGTCTATAGTCCAGTCTATAGTTTAGCCTATAGTCTAGTCTATAGTTTAGTCTATAGTCTAGTCTATAATCTCGTCTATAGTCTAGTCTACAGTCTAGTCTATAGTCTAGTCTATAGTCTAGTCTATAGTCTAGTCTATAGTCTAGTCTATAGTCTAGTCTATAGTCTAGTCTATAGTCTAGTCTATAGTCTAGTCTATAGTCTAGTCTATAGTCTAGTCTATAGTCTAGTCTATAGTCTAGTCTATAGTCTAGTCTATAGTCTAGTCTATAGTCTAGTCTATAGTCTAGTCTATAGTCTAGTCTATAGTCTAGCCTATAGTCTAGTCTATAGTCTAGTCTATAGTCTAGTCTATAGTCTAGTCTATAGTCTAGTCTATAGTCTAGTCTATAGTCTAGTCTATAGTCTAGTCTATAGTCTAGTCTATAGTCTAGTCTATAGTCTAGTCTATAGTCTAGTCTATTGTCTAGTCTATAGTCTAGTCTATAGTCTAGTCTATAGTCTAGTCTATAGTCTAGTCTATAATCTAGTCTATTGTCTAGTCTATAATCTAGTCTATTGTCTAGTCTATAGTCTAGTCTATAGTCTAGTCTATAGTCTAGTCTATAGTCTAGTCTATAGTCTAGTCTATAGTCTAGTCTAGTCTAGTCTATAGTCTAGTCTATAGTCTAGTCTATAGTCTAGTCTATATTCTAGTCTATAGTCTAGTCCATAGTTTAGTCTATAGTCTAGTCTATAGTCTAGTCTATAGTTTAGTCTATAGTCTAGTCTATAGTCTAGACTATAGTCTGGTCTATAGTCTAGTCTATAGTCTAGTCTATAGTCTAGTCTATAGTCTAGTCTATATTCTAGTCTATAGTCTAGTCCATAGTTTAGTCTATAGTCTAGTCTATAGTCTAGTCTATAATCTGGTCTATATTGTAGCCTAGACTTTATTCTAATCTGTAGCCTAGTCTTTACTTTAGTGTATAGCCTAGTCTAATCTATAGTCTAGTCTTTATTCTAATCTGTAGTCTAGTCTATAATTAAGTCTGTAGCCTAGTCTATAATGATGTCTATAGCCGACTGTCTAGTCTATTATCTAGTGTTTTCTCTGGACTATATTTTAGTCTTTATCAGAGTTTTTATTTAATTCTTTTTAATGTCATGTCCACTTAATTTATCAAATCAAGTAGTATTGGCATTTTTTTGAAATCGATTTTGCAATTTAATTAGCTCTAAAACTTTTAGTACTCTATAGCTGTAAAAACCAAATAAACAGTTTAATTAAATTATTTTAGCAAAACATTATTTGTTTATTTCGCAAGGTCAGTTAGTAACCAAAAATTTGTTTCACAGCTTAAGATTAAAAATATCTGTTAAGCAAATTGATTTCACAAACTAGTTAATGAAATAAATCGATTTGAAATTGATTTAATTAAACATTTGTTGAAGTTGATAAGAAGAATTTGAGAGTATTTTAAGAGAAAATTTTGTATAAATGAAGCAAAAAACTGACATTAATTTATAACTGGAATATTTTGTAAAAAAGTTAAAATCTGGAAATTTTCAATAAATTGTAAAATTTTGAAAATTTTTTGGAATTTTCTAATATCACTTTAATATCAAATCTATTGAATGTCTATTGAAATGTATACAAAATCAGCTTTGTTTAAGATTTTTGTTGGATTTTTCAAAAATTTTTAAATAAAGTTTTTTTTTTTACATTTTTTCTAAGTGTATGCCATAAGTTATATGTTTAGTTTGATTTGTTTTTAAAGAAAAAATAAAACAAAATTACTAAAACTATTTTTTAACATTTGCCAAAAGGAAAAACAAAAATTTATAAAAATTGACATTCGGCACTTATAAACAGCCTACACTGAGAGAAATCATACAACTACTTAGAAACAACAACAACATACAACAAAATAGTTAGAAAAACACAAGAATAGTAATATTAAAAAACAAACCTCAATAGATAAAAGAGTGAGTGATTGATTTAGTTTGTTTATTTTTTTTTTTTTTAACATTTTTATAACTTTATTAAGGGAAATTTTAGACAAAAAAGAAAACAAAAGTGATTTAAGAATAGTTAGTGTAAAGTAGTATAGAGTAAAGAGCATGCAAAGAGTTTTTTAATAATAACATTTTGTTTCTTTGTTAAAGTTTATAATAAATTGTTTTTATAATTTAAGAAATTTTCCAAAGATTGTTAATTTTTAAAGAGAGTTTTTTTAATATTTTCCAAATTTTTTTTCAAGAAAATTAATTATTGTCATATTTTTTAGGTTTTTTCTAAAAGACATTTCTTATCTATTGAGTGTTTTTTTTTGTAGGATTTAAAGAAAATTAAAAAGACAACACACAATTACAACAACAACAATTGTACTAAAACAACAACAGTTTTTTTTTTTATAGAAATTTTGTTAAGAAATAAGAAATTATAAAAGAAAATAGAAAATTCAACCAATTTTAGAAAGAATACACTTAAAGAAATGAAAATTAGTTTCAATTTTCAACTAAAATAGAAATTTTGTTAATTAATTATATAAAATTAGTTAATAATAAGACTAATACGGTTTTACATTTAACATGCTGTTTAGTAGTAATTCATTACTCAATTTATAATATAAATATTATTAAGCTTTTGTTAGGTTAGGTTTTCAAATAGTTTGAGGTTATGTAGTAAGTTAGTTTTTAGTAGTTTTTAATAGAATATTTGTTGTTAAAATATTGTTAATAATTGTTTTATTTTGATTAATAATAAGTGTCAGTGTCGTAGAACAAATCTTCTAAAAAGCTTACCGGCAAATCACGCGCACTTTCTCCTTTACGCTGAAAAATTAAAAACAAAAACAAAACACAGATAAAATTTTCCTTTAGTGGACAAAAAGAAAGCTAAGATACCCACCCTTAATCTTTCGCCACTATAAGGATCACGTTCTCTACGATAAACTAACTCATCATAACGAGTACGATCCTCAGGAAATATAAGTTCACGGATTTCCGTCACTAGTGTATGCTAGAAATAAAAAAAAAAAAAAAATAAAAACATAATTTCACACTAAAATTTCTGTCTGTGTTTAGCCACCACCGACCCACCTTTTCATATGTATCTAACATTTCTAATAAGACGGCTACAAAGGCATCTATGGTCATTGCTTTCGCACAATATTCGGCTATATAATACGAAAGACTTGCAAAATGGTGGCGGGGTAAAAGAGAGCGGGCCTTCTCCTCTACCATGGCGGTGATTTGACCTTTTCGTCGTGCTCTAAAACACAAAAATAAAACACACAAATTAAATAAATTAAACTTACACCAAAAAAACATATAATCTTTTAACCCACCTTGTCCCCGTGGGACTATAAGCATCATATGGCTCCATTTCTATGGAGGTACAGGAATGTGGCACTTTACCCACATCACGTATCACCAGTGACATACGTTTGTGGTATTTTAACTGACTAACAGCCTCGTCGTGGGTGACATCTTGAAATGATTGACCATTAACTTCGAGTATTTCATCACCCACCATTAAACCCGCCCGATCGGCAACACTCTCCTTATCCACGCCGGTCACAAATATGCCCAGACCATATTCAACGCCGCCACGTATCATAAGACCCAATGATTGACCCGGTTCTATTAGCAATTCGACACGGCGTATTCTAGAAAGAGTACAACGATTAAATGTAAGTTAAAAAATTAGCTTTTTCTTCTAGAAAGGGGATACAATAAAAAAGTACTTTTTGGTACATTTTTGGAAAAAGTACCATTTTGGACAAAAAAAAAAAAACAAAAATAAAAATTTTGAAATTTTTTTCGATAACAGTTTTATTAAATTTGTAATTAAAACAGTTTAAAACAAACTTTTTTAAAAAAGTACTTTTTGTCCAAAATAGTACCAAAATCAAGTTTAGAAAGAAGAAATTTAATATCAATAAGATTTTTAAGTACTTTTACTTAAAAGTACTTAAAAATGTTAAAAATAAACTTTTTTGAAAAAAGTACTTTTCGTCAAAAACAAAATTCGCAAAAAGTACTTTTCCAAAAAAGTACATTTTGTTAAAAAAAGTATCAAAACTAAAATAAAAGAAAAAATGTGTGAAAAACAATGTTAAAAATAAACCTTTTTGAAAAAAGTACTTTCTGTCAAAAACAAAATTCGCAAATAGTACTTTTCCAAAAAAGTACTTTTTGTATCACAACTAAAATAAAGGCAAAAATGTGTGAAAAACATGAAAAACAGCAAAAAATACGTTTTACATAAAAAATTTCTAAAATCACTTTTGCTACAAAGTTCTTTTATAGAAGTACTTTTTCTAAAAAGTACTTTTTGTCAAAAAAAGAAATAAAAAAAACACTTTTTTCAAAATTTTAACAAAAACAAGGAACGTACCAAAATAAACACTTTGAAAGAGTACTTTTTGTTACAAAAAGTGTTCTACCATAAAGGTACTTTTTCCAAAATTTAAATCATAAGTATTATTAATAGGAATTTATCACATTAAAAGTAACTTTTTGCAAAAAGTACTTAAAAATTTAATTTTTCTAAAAATTACTTTTTCAAAAATATAAACAAATTCGAAAACAAAATTGTGCCAAAAAAATTAATACATTTTTAAAAATTAGTATAAAAACTTTTAAAAAGTACTTTTTGCTACTAAAAGTACTTTTTTACAAAATTTAAATTAAAATTCTTAAAAATAGGAATTTTTTACATTAAAAGTTGCTTTTGGCAAAAAGTACTTAAAAATACACTTTTTGTAAAAAGTTCTTAAGAAGGCACTACTTTTAAAAAGTACTTTTTACAAAAAATGTACTAAATCAAACAACAAAAAGTAAGAATTGTACCATATTTTTCAACTTTTTCAAAATGCTTTTAAAAAGTTCTTTTTGTACCAAAAGTTTTCTACTCAAAGAGTACTTTTTTACAAAATTTAAAAAGTCTTTAAAAAAGAAAATAAAATATAATTTTTGCAAAAGTACTTCAAATTATATTCTTTTCAGAAAAGTACTTAAAAAGGTACTTTTTTCAAAAAAGTACTTTTTACCACAAATATAACCAAATGAATAACAAAAAAGTTTGTCGAAGTAAAATCTCATTCTCATTTCCAAAAACACTCACCGATCTCTTCGTTCACTTCTCCTTCCCCCATATTCCATGGGCGGTGAGGCGGGTCTACCATGACGATCCATCCAGGAGCACGTCTGCCGATATGGCAATGGCCCACCCGATGGTGATGTTCCTATACTGGCACCCGGTGGCAGTGCAGACTGTTGTGGCAGCAGGGGGGCCATCGATGCATACATGGGATCACGCGAGGGAGGACCAAAACCATGCAGTGGCGCCGTTGAATTAAGCGTAGGTGGTGCACGTACCGTCATACTGATTTGACGTGATGATTTCAATATCTGCACACATCTCTGCGTTAAGAAAAAATGTGGCAATAGAAGAGACAACAAAAAAAAAGACGAAGGTAGACAGACAGACAGAAGAAGAATGCGAAAACGAAAAGTAAAAAGAAACCGAAAAGAAAGGAAAATTAAAATTGTAACAGAAAAGTGTTAAAGAAAAAAAGTTTAAATGAAATTAATTATAAAAGAGAAACTTAGTAAAACTTATTATACAAAGATTTGTTAAACTTAGTATAAAAGAGTAACTGAATAGAAGTTGAAAAATATGTAATGGTGCTTTAATTTTATGGTGCAGTGTAATGATTATTTATATGTTTTTCTTTCTTAGGCTCACGACGTGCATGTTTACAACACATTTATTTATTTAATTTTGAAACAATTTTTAAGGCAACATTTAAGGATTTTTTATTATTATTGGAAAAAAATAGCCTTGAATTGTTTCTTATTTTTTTATTAAAAAAAATTACACTGAAATAAAAAATTAGTTTATTCTAAAAATGTTAAACATTTTTAATTACAAATTTTTTATTTGAAACTATTATAAGCAGCTGTTTAATATTTTTTAAATATTTTTTTTTTTAGATTTTTTCAAACTGCTTTTTCATAGTTTTTATTTCGCTCAGTGTATCGTATGAGAAATGTAAACTTAGTTATATAAAAAACACAAAAAAGGAAATCATAAACACATTTAATTGAAAGAGCAGGAAAATAGAAACAAAAACTTATTCTATTGCCAATTTTTTCTCAAAGTGTATTAGTGTTTTTTTTTTTCGATGTAAACAAAAATATCAAGTGTAAGTGTAATGATTACGGAATGAATTTAAAAGTGTCAATGTAGAAACAAAATCTTTCATAAAATCCAAAAAAATTGAACGAGTACCCGGTACTCACTTTCTTAAATATACAGTTCTTTTACAAAATTTTATCCAATCATAAATAGGAGTCTGTAAAAGTAAACATAAAACCCAAATTTTTCGCAAAATATTATAATTTCAAGCGAGTACCCGGTATTCACCTTCTAAATACAAGGTTTTTTCAACGAAACGAAATTGTAGCTATTCTCTGAACATTATGAAAATGTAACAAAATCTTGCACAAAAGCCTAAAAATTCAAACGAGTACCTGGTACTCACTTTCATATATATAAAATTTTTAGTTTAAAAAAATGCTGCAAGCGTAAAGGAGAGACCGTTAAAGAAAAGATAAAACCAAACATTTCCGTAAAATAACATAACTTGGAACGAGTACCCGGTATTCTAATTTTTAACGAGTACCCGGTATTTAACTAACTAACTAACTAACTAACTAACTAACTAACTAACTAACTAACTAACTAACTAACTAACTAACTAACTAACTAACTAACTAACTAACTAACTAACTAACTAACTAACTAACTAACTAACTAACTTTTGTTGCGTCGAATGGTTTTGCGTTTGTCAGGTTAACTACATCGAGCTCCCTTCCCTTTAATGTAATAGCTTTAAAGGGAAGGGAGCTCGATGTAGTTAACCTGACAAACGCAAAACCATTCGACGCAACAAAAGCTGAATTAAAAATATGGATGAGAGAATCCCATAAGGCCTCTTGGAATAATGAAACGGTGGGTAGAACCACAAAGATTCTATGGGGTGACCCTGATGGGAGCAAGACGAGAAATCTTCTCAAAATGAGCAAGTCTGAGGTTAGTATGATGGTACGTATTCTCAGTGGACACACAGGATTACGAGCACATCTATACAAAATTGGACGTGCGGATTCAGATGAATGTAGAGCATGTGGAGAGGACAGTGAAACTCTGGAGCACTTTCTTTGCCATTGTCAGGCATTCGTCGAAGTTAGATCCAAGTATCTTGGAAGTGATGTTATTTCGGAAATAACATTCTTAACCAACACCGATTGGAAGATTCTTAGGAATTACGTCCAGGAAACTGAGTTTCTGAACATGGAAAAATAATACATTCAGTGAACAATTTTTTTTTTTCTTGAATTGGAGCGCACAACAGGCCCGATAGTGGCCTAGGTGTATTTCTTCGGATTTGATGTAGTATACATCCTCCTATCAACCTAACCTAACCTAACCTAACCTAACCTAACTAACTAACTAACTAACTAACTAACTAACTAACTAACTAACTAACTAACTAACTAACTAACTAACTAACTAACTAACTAACTAACTAACTAACATCTTAATAAATGTAAAAATTTGGGAAAAATCTTTTCAATAGAAACTAAAACTTGTTTTTAAGAATTTACCTTATTGTTGCCATAGCTTGGAAATAAATCTTGAGTAATCCATTTCTTCAAATTTTTAAACTAACTCTATTAAACACTTCAGATTTTTTTTTAATATAAAACAGGCCATAGAAAGAGCTTTTTTTAATTTTTATTTATTTTTTGCTCTTTTATTTGCTTTCTATTTTTTCATTTAAATATATTTACTTTTATTAAACCTTTTGCTCATGCTTATTCAACATATTTCATTTTCACCACTTTAGCAAAGACAAAAACCACACCCACTTCCGCTATTAATATAAACAGACTTTTAAAACGAAGCTTTAAAAAAACATACATATTTCTTTACTTTAACTCATTACGTTTGCTCTCTCTTATTTACTTATATTTTGTGCTCTTTCCTTTGCGTAAACCATTTCATCAATCTTTACAACATTTCCTTTATTCACAACAACACCAACAACTAACAACACTCGCGAGAAGAGCTTTCTAAAATAGTAGATACATACTATTTTTTTTTTCGACTGCGCTGCCGGCAGCACTTTTTTCTTAACAACATTTTTTCACTAACGAAATTTTGATGAAAAATCGAGTTTCTTTTAAATATTTTTTAATTTTCTTATAAAACTTTAACTAAACTTTCAGTTTATTAAGATTTTACTTTTATTCAAACACTTTTTCTTTTATTATTAATTATTGTTTAATAGAACAACCGACCGACACAACCGCTGTTAGTGATTTATAGTTGAGAACTGAAGAAAATAAAGGAGTAATTGAGCAAGAGCTTTTAGCTTAGAACAAAAGCAGTGAGAGAAAGAGACAGCTAGTCGATACTTTTTGTTATGTTTTTTAGTTAAACCAGTTGAGTGTGAGCAGCCGGCTAAAGAAGATAAGGAAATTTTGTTTAATGCAAAGGAATTGCCAGAGAGTTTTTTGTTTCAGTTATCATTGTAAATTCTTAACAGCGGGTTCGTTTTATAGTAGTGTCTCGTTTAGAAATTAATTAAAAATAGTTAAAGTTTTGAAATAAAAGTAAAAAGTTAATAATAATGTAATGTAAACAAAGTTTTATAAGAAAATTTTAAAATTTGTGAACAAATCTAGTTATTTAAAGGAAAAATTGTGGTTGAAAAAAGTTGTTAAGAAAAAAGTCTCTGCCGGCAGAGCAGTCGTGAAGAAAAAATGTGTATCTAGTTTTGGGGCAGTTAAGAGAAGACGTTTGTATAGCTTTGTGTGTATGAGTGAGTGTGTGTGTAAAGTTGTTGATAAAGGAACTAAAGAAGAAAAAGTTGTTGTTGTTGTTGTTTATTTTAAAGTTTATTTAAGCGGTTTGCGCAAAAAGTAAAAAGAGAAAAATTAAAAGTAAATGAAAGAGAGCAAAAGTAAATTAAAGAATAAAGTTAAATAAAGCTCTTTCATATCAATGAAAGTGTTTTTAGTTGTTGTTGCTAAAGTTTATAAAGGAAATAGGAAATGTGTTTAACAAAAGCAAGATGTTTGAAAAAAATAAAGTTATTTTTAAAAAGAAAAATAAATGAAAGAGCAAAAAAAGAAATAAAAATAAAAGAAATAAGCGGCATAAAGCTCTTTCTATGGCCTTTTTATATAGAAAAAATCTAAAGTTTTGGTGTTTTTTTTTTTTTAAATTCAAAGCAATTTTAGCTATTGAAAACGAGCAAAGAAAAGGCGTATCTCAAGATTTTATTCACAGCTATTGCTTCCACAAGGTAAGTGAAAAAGAACCAACTATTCTTAAGTTTTATTCCAAAAATGACAACATTGGTAATGTGAGTACCGGGTACTCGCTTAAAAATGTTGAGTTTTTACGAGTTCAATTGATATTTTTTATAAATTATTATATTTTCACTCCTTAAAATTATCATTTTTGTTAATATGTCTACCGGATACCCGCTAAAAAAATGCGCTATTTCTCAAGAACCTATTATGTTACATTTTTTTTTAAATTTTTTTTGGATTACTGGTACAAGTTTTGCAGCAAAATTCTTACATTTGTTAATATGGGTACCGGGTACCCACTAAAATATGTGTTATTTTCCAACAACCTACTACGTCAAATTTCTTTTAATATTTTTTGATGAACCATAC